ACGGTTGAGATTATATCGCCACCTGTTGGTTTGGCATGCTCTTGACAGTGCTTCACAGCATGCGTTTGAGTTTTCATGTGGACGGAGATTTTTTTAAAAACAGAAGAAGGAAAAACTCCGTTTATAAAAATACCTGTGTACGTGTGGACATGGCCTAAAATTGCAAGCATGTTAGTGTATGTAAATCAATAATGGGGTGCATTTGTTCGCATTTTATTTTGTGATTTCACAGGAGCAGAGTTCAGGAAAGCGGTGTGTGTGAGAGCTGTGTAAAAATAGCGATGATCTATATGAATATGTTGCCCATAAAAGGGTACTATCATATATATATATATACAGTATCTCACAGAAGTGAGTACACCCCTCACATTTTTGTAAATAGTTTATTATATCTTTTCATGTGACAACACTGAAGAAATGACACTTTGCTACAATGTAAAGTACTACGAATCTACATCCCCTCCAGAAGTCTGAGATCCGCTAGTGAGCGACGCCTCGTGGTACCATCACAGAGAGGCTCAAAATCACTTTCCAGAACATTCACGTTCACCATTCCTGGCTGGTGGAATTATCTTCCCACCCCTAACCGGAATGCTGAATCCCTGACCATTTTCAAGCGACAGCTGAAAACTCATCTCTTTCGACGCTACTTGACTTCATCCTAAATAAAAAAATAAAAAAAACGTTCTCTTTATTTATTCCTTCCCTTTTCTAGATATATTATTTTTTTTTACAGCTGGTAAGGGGAGGATTCAGAGTGAAATATTCTCAGTTATCTACTGCAGGCAGGAGAGACTGCATAATAACATCGAAAAACATCAAAAAGCCACTGCAGTTTTGAGAACATCCAAATGTATGTTTTCACAGCACATTAAGTTCATTAGGTTAATAAACTGGAGGAATTTAGCCAGATATAAATGCACTTTGTAATTGTTAAGCAGACAGTTTCTAAATACACTGTCAAACTAAACTCAGATTAAAACTGTATTTTCATGGTTTCTAGCAGGACATTAGCTGTTATACGATTATTGTGGATAAGCTGTAGTTTAGTAGCCAAATAATGACACTTTCGTCTTCTGTAGAGCTGCTTTCTGAATCAAATTTGCTTCAAAACTGATGGATACTGCACTGTTACTGAACTGAACTGAATCAACATTGAGCTGACTCAAGTTGAATAATGACACTATTGCCTTCTGTGGAGATGCTTATAGCTAATCTTGTTTCATAATTTGATAGACTTTACAACTGTGGATAGAGACAATATATAATTTCCATAGCAACAACATTTTATTTCAGTGTTATTTTACTACTATTACTACTATTACTATTATTTTGGTCTGCTTTTTGTAGTACAGCTGTCGCATTTTCTGTGAAAGCATCTAAGCTTCTAGTATCCAAACACAATATAAAAACCGATATTGCTAATGATTACATGTAATCTGGATTACATCACTAATTCCAAAAATTAAGTACTTCTTTATATTACATTTTAAAATACTCGTAATTAGATTACAGTTACTTTTTATAGATTACATGATTACATATTATTTACAGAATTGCAGTAAATTATTCATAATTAGATTTTTTCTTTCACATTTGTTCTTTCTAAAATTCTACCGCTTTTTTTACATTTAGAAAGTCTTCCTGCTTTTCATCTACTCACAAACCCCATGTCAACTGTGGATAGAGACAATATATAATTTCCATAGCAACAACATTTTATTTCAGTGTTATTACTATTACTACTATTACTATCACTATTATTTTGGTCTGCTTTTTGTAGCACAGCTGTCGAATTTTCTGTGAAAGCATCTTAGCTTCTAGTATCCAAACACAATATAAAAACCGATATTGCTGATAGTGCTAGGAAGTAAATGATTACATGTAATCTGGATTACATCATTAATTCCAAAAATTAAGTACTTCTTTATATTACATTTTAAAATACTCGTAATTAGATTACTAGATTACACGATTACATATTATTTACAGAATGGCAGTAAATTATTCATAATTAGATTTTTTCTTTCAAATTTTTTCTTTCTAAAATTCTACCGCTTTTTTACATTTAGAAAGTCTTCCTGCTTTTCATCTACTCACAAACCCCATGTAGTTCCAGTTTGCGAAACCCTGGCATAATGTAATGTTTAATACACTTCATGATGTTTACAAAGAATGGAATATATTTTAAGTCAAAAGTAATCTAAAAGTAACCAAAAGGTAGTCAGAATGCATTACCTAATTTGGATCCAATGGATTACATTACAAACTATGACTTCTATTATGTAATTTGTAATCAGTAACCGACTACAATTTGTAAGAAATCTACCCAGCAGTGTATATAAATATAGCAATAATATACACTGCCGGTCAAAAGTTTGGAATAATTACGATTATTTTGTGATATGCTATTACAGTATGCTCAATTTATTGCATTTATTTGATCAAAAATACAGTAAAAACTGTCATATTATGGACTATTGTTACAATGTAACATATGTTAAACATGTTTTCTATTTGAATATATTTAAAAAAAAAACTAAAAAAAAACAGTCTTCACGATAAAGGGATAGAAATGGACCTGAAGAAGAGAACCTGTGTGGTCGACCATCTTGACTAGAGCTAGTTAGAGCTAGTCAGAGCACCAATTAAGCTGGTGGAGGCCTGGGTGAGCTGATTAACCGTGCTCTCAAACTAGTTTACCAGCCTGACAACCTTCTACTGCTATGACCTGTTTTTTTCCAGCAGGGACTGCATCAAAGACTGATTAAGCTTTGATGAAACAGGTGTCAGTGTTTTTCCACCCTTTCCTCCCAGCAGAGCAGAGAAACAAACCTGCGAGCATCTGTGTGCTGTTGTTGGATGCTGGTTTGGTCTGGTTTGAGGGAATTGTGGGATGGTTCCCTGAGGTAGAGCTTGTGAAGTCAGCAGTGCTGTGCAGATTATGAGGTCGCTCCATAAAAACACCTGTGAGACACAGAGAGGTGGGACACCTCAGGCTCTAACACTTTAGGCAACACTTTATTTTAAGGTCCAAATTTCATTATAAGCTAGTTGTTTTAACATGCATACTACTAGGATATTGGCTGTTTAGTAGTACTATGTGGCTTATTCTGCATGACAATATTTTAGATCCTTTAATCCACCCCATAACTAAACTTAACAAATACCTTACTAACTATTAATAATCAGCAAATTAGGAATTTATTGAGGCAAAAGTCATAGCTAATAGTTAGAATTTGTCCCTAAACTTAAGTGTGACCCCACTTTATTTATTCTTTTGTTTAAATTTAGACATTTAAATAAATGTAGGAATTTTTAGGCATGTACTACGTAGAATAAAGATTAATATTAGTATTAATAATATTACTACAAGTATTTGTGTGTGCGGTACTATGTAAATGCCATGGTATACAACTATGGTAATTATTTAGTACCATGGTATTTATCAAAGCACAGCTTTTCTATTAAATGTAATTTATTCTTGTAATCAAAGCTGAATTTTCAGCATCATTACTCCAGTCTTCAGTGATCTAAACGTAATCAAACTTTTAGATTACTTCATGATCCTTTAGAAAGTACAATATGCTCATTTGATACTCAAGAAACATTTCATATTATTATTAATGAAAGCAGTTATCTTTAATATGTTAAATTTTGAGGAATACTTAATATTTTTTTATGAAAACGGTGATACGTTCTTTTTCAGAATGATGAAAAGAGTGTTCAAAAGAAAAACATCTGTCTGAAATATATTTTTGTATGAGGTTCAGCCTAGAAAGTCTTTTCCAGTAAACAAAAGTAATCAAACTTTTAGATTACTTCATGATCCTTTAGAAAGTACAATATGCTCATTTGATACTCAAGAAACATTTCATATTATTATCAATGAAAGCAGTTATCTTTAATATGTTAAATTTTGAGGAATACTTAATATTTTTTATGAAAACGGTGATACGTTCTTTTTCAGAATGATGAAAAGAGTGTTCAAAAGAAAAACATCTGTCTGAAATATATTTTTGTATGAGGTTCAGCCTAGAAAGTCTTTTCCAGTAAACAAATTACTCACCTCAAACTTTTCAATGGTAGTGTACATTCAAATAGTTTTGAAAAGCTTAGTATAGTATAGTGTAGTGTAGTGTAGTATAGTATAATATAGTATAGTATAGTACAGTGTAGCGTAGTATAGTATAGTATGGTATAGTATAGTGTAGAGTAGCGTAGCGTAGTATAGTGTAGCGTAGCATAGTATAGTATAGTGTAGCGTAGCATAATATAGTATAGTATAGTATAGTATAGTGTAGTGTAGTGTAGCGCAGCGAAGCATAGTATAGTATAGTATAGCATAGTATAGTTTATATTTTTTAGCCTTTTTGCCACTTTATTTGTCAGGATATAGAAAGATCTGATAGAAAATTATGAGGGGATCAAGGGATAGGCTTCATTATTTTTCAAATTTTGAATACCAGATTTTAAATCTGTCCTCAAACACTTATACAGTATGTATTCATATATTATGATTGAATATATAACCACTGCTCTGTTAAGCATTATATAATGCTTGTTATGGCACACTCTCTGGGATACTTGATTCCGATTCAGTTGTGGCATTTCATGGTCAAACAAAACAATGTAACTGATAATGAATAATGTACTGATGTAGCAGATCAACACAAACACAACAAATAAATCCCTTCAGGGTGACACTAAACATTATGCCTTATATAATGTCTTATTCATGAAAGTTGCCTGACACCCAAATATTGGCACTACTCAAAAGCAAATGTTTCGGCTCATTGCCTGCTGCCTTCATCAACTGTATCTTTCCCTAAGCAGAAAATCTGTAAGCTAATTAAATAAGGCAGTGCAATTGTTTTCAATGAGCCACTAGAGTATTATACTCCAGCAGCGATGTTTAGAAGACCCACCCGAGCACATATGGCAGGCGATGCCCTGGGCGCTGAGGTTGCTGCGCAGGTCCAGCAGTCTCTGCAGGTTGGTGTCTCTGTGGAAGAGCACAGGCGCGTGACTGGCCGGCCGCAGGAGACAGCAGCACCACACCGAGCTCAGCAGAACCAGAGCATACACACCTGAAACACCAGACAGCATGGGACGTGAGAGGGTTGTAGTATGGAACAAGTGGACGGAGGAAGGATGTTTATCACAAAAACTAATGTTGGGATTTAACCCTGATGTTGCGTTCGGGTCATTTTGACCCAAAATGCTAATTAATATTAATGGACAGGACTAAATCTAAGACTTTGCTCAAACAGGACATAACAAATTCCCGCAAAAAATATCAAATATTTTTGGGGATTTTTTTTTACCGACTGATTATACTTGTGATGTGATCGGCTTAAAAACTGCTTATAAATTTCTCATTATGCTATAATCAGTCCTGGGTAGTAAAGGATTACATGTAATCTGGATTATGTAATCAGATTCCAAAAATTCTGAAATTGAAATTACAAAATTTGCTGTCTTTGGATCATTTTAAAACAGTTATTCGGCAAATGGAGGATGATTTAATGATATGTACTACAATTGTTTTTAGTTTGTTTGTGTTGTGTAAATTTGTGATGAAACTGATTGTATTGCTGCCCATTTTGTCTTTTTTTTAAACAGCGTTTTTCTGGTTAAATAAAGGTTAAATAAAAATAAAAATAAAAAATAAAATTAGGTAATCAGATCATTACATTTGAAAATACTTGTGAAAATCAGACTACAGTTTCTTTTTTTTATTGATTACATAATTACATATTATTCACATAAAAGCAATAAATTATTCATAATTTATTGATTCTCAGTAATTCTTTTTCAACTTTTAAATTTTTCTTCTAAAATAGCCTAGCGCTAATATACATTCAGAAATTGTTTCAGTTTTGTGGACATTCACACAAAGACCAATGACTTCTCTGGTGGCTATAATTTACAATAATAATTTTCTCAACATTTCAACATTGCATCAACTACTGAACACATTCGTTTTTATTTACCCCGCAGTTCCTTCACAAGCCCTGTTTGTGAAACCTTGATGTAATGTAATGTTTAATGCACTTCATGTTATTAATAACAACAAAAGCAATATATTTTCTTTCTCTACGATACACGATTATCTGATTTAAATCAATGTCATAAACGAGTTAGGTCAAAAGTAATCTAAAAGTAATCAGAAAGTAGTTTGATTATATTACCTAAAATGTGTAATGTAACGGATTACATTACAAACTACAATTTTTGTCAAGTAATTTCAAATCAGTAACGGACTACAATTTGTAAGTAATCTATCCAGCACTGGCTATAATATTACCAAATACTGAAATCAATCTATTTTTTTCAGCCTTTTTTTTTTTTTCAATTTCTTTGCAAGCTGCAAAGGTGGGACTAACTGTCTATGTATTTATAATGCGATGCCCTGTTGGTATAATGGTCAGGTGTCCCAATACTTTTGTCCATATAGTGTAAGCTCAGATCAATGAGGCCTACGATTGATCACCTCCAATACGTAATACAAAACCCTTGCTGATTGAAAGAAAACAAGTTCAGAAAAGGGCTGAATCCAGGATTTGGTGATGACATAGCATATTGTGAGATTTACAAGCAATTTTTAAAAGACCAGCCATTTTTGCACAGAACAAGGTTTAAATGCATCCTGCTACATTATGCATGACTGTATTGTTACTGTCTCCAAGTCTATAATTATAGCACTGTTGTATCAACAATGCTCAGGCTGCTCACCTAATAAGAGGAAAGAGCAGTGGTGGCCTGGGAGAAACCTGGCTCTAATTTAGCTTATTGACATGCATGCAGCTGCATAAATATGCATTTACACAATAGGCGTTTGTGGAAATTTCTTGCTACGCTCCAACATGCTTAATTGCATTGTTGCAGACACTTAAGGGATGCGGTTCATAGCTCCTTTGTTTGAACTGTGAATAGACTGACCTTGAGACTAAGAACAAAATACAGAGAGTCTGAAACAAAACAGCCAGGAAATGTTCATCTTACTCATGCACAAATTGTCTGTACATTAGCAGAAAAATCTGAATCTGACTTGCATGAGTTCACTATTGTACTCTTTGTTCGTTTTCAGATAATCATTTATCAGACCAGCATTCTTTAGTCAACCATTGTCTATATCTTATGAAGGTATAAAGATATATTTTTAAAAATGAATTTCAGTGCAATTATTTAGAAACAATTCTCATTAGGTTACTATTATAGCATTTATGAATATTATAAATAATAATGTATCAATTTTAATTAGATTTTATATTTATATAAGATTTTATAATTATATTTTCATTGATTTTTTTTCATTTTATATTATTATTATTATTATTACAGTTAGTTACCTAGGTAACATTTCTAAGTTTCAGATTTTCATTTAAATAGTAAGCAACTCAGTATAGGCATTATTCCACATAAACATGTCAAATAGTACTCAACATTGCTGACATGGGACATCATCACATTGCATTTTTAATTCAATGAGTGCTGTCCAGTTATTTTGCACAAATTTTGTGTAAAAATGTCTCCACACTTGGCAGTCTTATCAAATACTGAGTGAAGAAAGAGATTGTGGCTGATATTACTGGTTCATCAATCTCACTGGAGATGGTCATGTCAAGGGAATACGATTGTGGGATACAGTATCCCATGCAGTAGCTCTGTTGTGCACTGCACACTTTGGCAAGTGTAGTATGTCATCCAGTCATTCTATACTATACTATACTATACTATTATCGTGTAGCATAGTATTGTCACGTGTATGTTCCTAGTTTTCCTTATTTGGTTTGATTCCTGTATTAAGTTTCATTTGTGTCAGCTGTGTTCTATTAATTATCCTGGATTACTCCTCACCTGTTTCTGTTCTCCCTGATTGCGTTACATGTGTTTATAAGCCCTGTGTTTTCCTCAGTTCCATTGTCTTGCGTTGATGTTGTTTAGTGGTTCTCCTTGCTCCTGGTATTTGTCCTGATTTGAAGTCTGATTAAAGACTTCAATTAAAGTTATTTCCATTTACCTCTATTGTTGTGTGCGTCACTACAACCACAGACCGTGACAAGTATAGTATTGTATATTAATTACTTTAACTTCGTACCATAATTTGACATAACTTTGGGACCAGACAAAGTGATATAAATCTGTGCACAACTCCAGAAAGTAACGGAAAGTCCGCTAGTTCACTTGCTTTTGTCCGGGCCAAATACAATGTTGATTTTTTTTGGTTTGGTGCAGTTTGCTTTCACACTGCCCTTTTTGCAAGTGAACCATAAACCGTAAACAAAACCACACATCTGCTTAAGGTCATCCATTCATTGGTTTATCCTTTCAACCGTACCAGAGTTCGTCTGGAAGTGGTCTCGGTATGGTTGTTTGGTTACACCTGGCCAAAAGATCCGCACCAAGGGGCGAAACCAACTTGAGTTCGATTCAATCGAACCAAACAAGACAGGTGTGAATACACCCTTAGAAGCCAGTGAATCAGAGTGAAAGGTTTCAGCCAGCTCTTGGTAGTTTTGTGCGTGACATACATCAGACAGTAAGCCAATGCTCTGTGGGCGGCCTGTGAGAGCATTGTCTGCGGCTGAGAGCAAATGTATAAAGATGCTTAACTAATGTGAGAATTATGAAAGCATCGTCTTCTCGTCTTCTGAGATAAACCTCTAAACATTCCTAATCATTACAAGTGTTACTCACCTATAATGGTTTTCCGTTTCTCCACTACAGGCTCTGCCACCCAGTGTCTCAGGAGCTTCTGAAGGTGAGCGCTGACCACCCCTACACTGCCCTCAGTGGACACGGCCAAAGCAGCTTCAGCCGAGAGCGACAGCAGCACCGCATCGGATTCAGAGTCATACACACCTGCGCAGAAATCAACAATACAAGGAGTGACTCAGCAGCTGAATGTGATGATCTGAGATAATGCACCATGGTTTTTAATTTCAGATCAACGTGAAATCAAAACAGACCCTGTTTACTTGCTAAGTTCATATTCATGGTCTTATCGTGAATGATTCATCGGTGCACAGTATTCCAAATGTTCCAGTATTCCAAACTGTCTCTGTAATCTTTTATCAAAATAGCATTTGTGGTGATGACATCATCATTACCTGGTTCCATTTCTACCGTTATTAGAGCAACATCGTCTTCATCTGAGAGCGGACTGGGGCTGGTGGACAGTTTAGTTAGAGTGGTCCACCTGTTAGGGTTAACAGTCTCAGGGTTAAAGGGAAAATACACACAAAAAAAGCAAGTAATTGTATGTAAATGTCAGTGTAATTGCTTGGGAAAGAGTGACCAGCAACCAATTCATTAAATTCAATGTAATTGCAAGGAAAAGAGTGACCAGCACAATGAAAGGAAAAAAAAGTCTTAAAGGTTTAATAATGACAGAATTTGTTGTTCTGTGTGAACAATAACTTTAAACAGATCATTTACCCAAAAACTCTTAGTTCTGTCAGGACCACTATCGTCAAAATGATAGATACTTAGCATAAAGTTTGGTTTGGCAGTATGGTTCTGTTCTGCGCAAAAAACTCCCTGCCCATCCATGCAGCCTGTCATGAATGAGCAGGGAGAGCAGCAATAATAACCCCCCTAGGGTTAACAGAACAGAACAAGGCAGATATCATTAATGTACTTAATAATATTTAAGTGTAACACTTTATTCAAGATAAAGGAGTCTGATTAGCAAGGAATATCAGAAAGCCAAGTCCTGACTGTGGCGAAAGGAGGAGCTGGGGATGGAGGAGGGTAATTTGCTCCGGAGCAAGCTGAAAAGCTGCTGAATAATACTGAATAGAGCTTATATAGGAATGCCGCGATAGGTGTCGTATTCCTATAGGTAGATGTGATCAGCTGATGCAAGCTTGACTCACGTGACCTGCCAGAACTAACGCTAACGCTTAATTTAGTCCAGGAGGACTGCATTAATTCACACAATTAAGAAGAAGCACAGCCAATATGATTCTCATATTGATGCTTCAGCAAAGTTAAAACACCCACAGGCTCTGAAAAACTCCCTACCAGATTCTGTAACAAGTATAATCAAAAATTTTATGTAAAAAAAAGCAATTTTTTTCTGACCACAACATGTTGAATCTTGCCTTGCACATCATGTTTAAAAAGCACAGCAGTGTTTGTAAATAAACAGAAATACTTCTATCTATATACACAAGACTTATCCTCCTCTGAGCGCTCATTAATCTTCCACACATAAGCGCTCTTCTGTGTCCAAAAGCTATTAAATTTGTGCTCTCTGCATTCATAGTAGCCTTGTATCCCATTCCAAACTGCATTAATATAATGCAGGAGCCATCGAATGTCTTGCATTTTAACGAATTGAGAAGAACATCCAGATTAGTGGACGATCAATATTTCTCAGTAGCCGATAGACGCTGATATATATAGCATATAAAGTACAATCAGCCGGTCATTATTGCAAAATAAATCCTGACAGGGTGATCAAGACCACTAAATGAATAAATGCTTGGACTTAAATATTGATTCGAGTTGATATTATTTACTAATCTTGCATTTATATGATATTAAAGCGTTCGCTAAGAAAAACTACTGCAGTACATTGTGCAAAACAATCAGCCTAGAAACAAAATGAACATTGCTACAGTAATATTACAGTAATTTTAATAATGAAGTCTTCTGTGGTCATTTTCACTGTAATCCATAACAGAGATGCAAGATTTCACTATAGCTGCGTTTCTAAAAATGAGAGCGCAAGTTTGGGGTGTTGAGAGCAATCGGGTTCTTGAAATCAGGAAAAGTTCACCCAAAAATGAAAATTTGCTGAAGATTTTCCCCCTCAGGGTTTATGAAGCGAGAAGCTGCGAGTTGTAATAAACAAATCCATCATTATGACGTTTTTTTTTTTACTTCAAACTGTTGCTTCCAGCTAAAATAAAAGTCCTTCATAATATTGCTTTCTCCAGTGAAAAGGTTGTCTGAATCAGGAGAGAAATATGCACAGATCAAGCACTGTTTACAAGCAAAGACAGTCCAAAACAGTTCTAAACAAATATGTGGGTGGATTTTGATGTTAGAGAACAGCAGGGGACGGACTTTTTCACTGGAGGAAGGGTCATTATGGATTATGGACTGGCATTTTGGCCAGAAGCAATAGTTTAAAGTTAAAAATATCTTAATGATGGATTTGTTTCTTACAAACACTCAGCTTTTCACTTCACAAGACGTTAACTGATGGTGGTGTGGATTATTGTGATGTTTCTATCAGCTGTTTGGACTCTCATTCTGACGGCACCCATTCACTGCAAAGGAATGTAATGCTAAATTTCTCCCAATCTGTTCTAGTGAAGAAACAAACTCATCTACATCTTGGATGGCCTGAGGGTTTTCATCAAATTTTGATTTATAGGTGAACTATTCCTTTAAACATGCTATGTATTATATTCCTTGAATATTCAAACAGGCTATAGGTAATGCGAGAGATTCTGACATTACATAACGTAGCCTAACATTCAAACTTTAAAGGTTTATCTTGATGGCTTTTATGTCTCTTTATTTTCGTTAAATGTTGTAAAAATGCTAAACATTGCTGGAGGGTCTCCACATGCTATATCAGTTTTAATTAGTCAGTGCTCTTATGAGGTAACAAAGAACTTTCTGCTAGACTGATAGGATCTAAACCAATTAAAAACGGTGTGCCTGAGAGGCCGGTCCACTTCTGTAGATCTGAGATCATTAACAGCTTTAATTAGGGCCGTGTGATGTTCAGCGCTGTGATGTTGATCATCTCAGATCTTCAACAGAGACCACATTTACATTTATTTATTTTATTTTAAATAGAGAGTAAAAGTCAAAATTAAACTTACAGCTATTTCTTCAGCTATAGGGATGTTTATACAGTATAACAGATTTCAATGTTTTTCTTTAAATATCAAAGGCACATTAAACCTGCCTTGGAAACGTCTCGGTTACGTATGTAACCCTCGTTCCCTGAAGGAGGGAACGGAGACGTCACGTCGGATGACCGACGAATTGGGATCTCGCTTAGAGGGACCAATCTACTTAGAGTGTAAACTAAACGAGCCAATGCACATTGGCATGCGATTATTGCATCCAGCTGCCGCTGATCACAGCGTGAGTATAAGTAGGCAGCAGATGCAGCGCATATTCAGGTTTTCGCTGAGGAGCCGAGCCGGTGACCCGGCCGCTCAGCGGTGGTACAGGAGCTGTGGCGACGGGACGTGACGTCTCCGTTCCCTCCTTCAGGGAACGAGGGTTACCATACGTAACCGAGACGTTCCCTTTCAGTCGGTCACTCTCGACGTCACGTCGGATGACCGACGAAATTGGGATCCTACCAAAGGGCCACAGCTACTGCCCCTTCCAGTGTCCTGTGGAAGCCACCTGCGCCCCTACTTTTTGGCATAGGCCAGGGCTTCACAAGAGGACCAGCTACTGCTACTATGGCACTACCCACTGAGTAAGACTGGATAACACTGGGAAAACGTACCCGTTCTACTTGGAACAGGGGCGTTACGGAAGCTCCAACCTTCCCGAAGGAGGTTTCGGAAGCAAATACACATATGAACATTCCTTAGGTGCATATGGAAGAATGGAGGTGATTGAACCCTCTTGGAATGGCAGAAGTCTGCCGGGGAAACACGGGCTCAAGGCTATACCGTGGACTTTACACATATGAGATCCACTTGGGTCTTACATATGGAACCCAGCCTTCTACCGGTTCTCGAGGATTCAACGAGTGAAGGCCTGACGCCGGACGCTCCGCCACGTCTGGCTGCCGAGGGGACGGAGGAACTCAACAGGGTCTACTATATGGACTCTCTGGAGTGGTTTTTGCAAGCCGACCCGAAGCCGGGGCCTCTCAGTGCTTCTACCCGTTTGAGGTGAGAACACAGGAGGATACCGGCTCCACACGAAGGCTATAGAATCTAGCGAACGTGTTAGGGGTCGCCCAGCCCGCAGCTCTACAGATATCCGCCAGCGAGGCGCCACGAGCCAGCGCCCAGGAGGATGCAACACTTCTAGTTGAGTGAGCCCGCAACCTGAGCGGGCAGGGCACACCCTGTGCCTGATAAGCCAGGGTGATGGCATCCACTATCCAGTGGGCCATCCTCTGCTTCGAGACGGCATTCCCCTTCTGCCGGCCTCCGTGACAGACAAAGAGCTGGTCTGAGGTCCTGAAGCTTTGCGTCCGGTCAACGTAGCCCCTTAAGGCTCGGACGGGACAGAGCAAAGCTAGGGCTGGGTCTGCCTCCTCCGAGGGCAGCGCTTGGAGGTTCACCACCTGATCCCTGAAGGGAGTAGCGGGAACCTTGGGCACATAGCCGGGCCGGGGCCTCAGGGTTACCTGGGAATCAGCCGGCCCGAACTCTAGGCACGAATCGTTGACCGAAAATGCATGCAGGTCCCCTACCCTCTTGATGGAGGCCAATGCCAGCAGGAGCAAAGTCTTCATCGAAAGAAATTTCAGCTCGACCGTCTGCAAAGGCTCAAATGGGCCCTGCTGTAGTGCCGTGAGCACTAGAGTCAGGTCCCAAGAGGGTATAGAGGAATGCCGCGATAGGTGTCGTATTCCTATAGGTAGATGTGATCAGCTGAGAATCAGCTGATGCAAGCTTGACTCACGTGACCTGCCAGAACTAATGCTAACGTTTAATTTTTCCCATGAGAACAGGTTGAGATATTTTGAAAATTTTTGGTAACCAAACAGTTTTGGTGGCTATTGTCTTCTAATGTATGGACCAAAAAAAACAAACACTCAATTCGAAAGAAAGAACATGCACATTTCTCAAAAGACATTTTGGAAGAAATAACACAATCTACCATTTGGGACAGGCGTTGGCATGGGCAGCTCCACACTGGCTCCAGATGCAAAGGGCAGCAGGCATGAGAATGGACACCCAAAGCCAGCAGCAGCTCACAATTAGAGACATGAACAGACCGAAATCATGAACCGCTGGGATCTAATGACGCATGCAAAACAGATAAAGGTCACGCGTCAGGTGTTGTCAGAATTTTTTTACTCCTTTGCATGTTTTAAAATAAATTAACCGGTGGGATTCTCATTACGCCAGAATACGCTATTGAATAAACATGAGTCGGTGACAGAAACATAAAAGCCCCATGGGTACAAAAGCTAAAGTGAATAAAATAAGACCCCTTTTTAAAGATAAAGCAATGTTCGACTGTCTACTCTACATGTTCTTGCGGCTTATTTCATCATTTGTGCTCATGGTCTTTATTTTTTGATTGATGTTAGATCCTGAGCTTCAAAGTAGGAGGTCACATACAAATCCTCAAGTTCACTCAGAACTTTAGTTCGTTTTATCACACCACTTAAAAAGCTTTGATGACAGGAAAGTTAAAGAATGTACAGGTCACAGGTCGTGACTGAAAGCAGAATTTTTAAAATTGTGTTATTTTTTCATTGTGTAAAATTGACAGTCCTAGAAAAAATCGTCAGGGAATTGTTGTCACGACCATGAGCACACTGACATATGCATGTGTAGTATTTAGCAAACAACCCGGATGTTGAGGTTAGCAAATCATAACAGAAGTAATTTATATAACACTTACTGGACTGAAGCAGCTTAGGCTTACGTAATACATACAGTTGAAGCCAAAAGTTTACATACACCTTGCAGAGTCTACAAAATGTTATTATTTTACCAAAATAAGAGGGATAATACAAAATGCATGTTATTGTTTATTTAGTATTGACTTTAATAAGATACTTCACAACAGAAAATAATAGTTGAATATATAAAAATTACCCCGTTCTAAATTTTACATACACTTTATTCTTAACGCTGTGATGTGAATGACCTGAATGATCCACAGCTGTTTTTTTTTATTTTTATTTTTTTGTTTTTTTTGTTTAGTGATAGTTGTTCATGAGTCCCTTGTTTGTCCTGAACAGTTAAACTGAGCACAGTTCTTCAGAAAAATCCTTCAGGTCCCACAAATTCTTCGGTTTTCCAGCATGTTTATGTATTTGAACCCTTTCCAACAATGACTGTATGATTTTGAGATCCATCTTTTCACACTGAGGACAACTGAGGGACTCATATGCAACTATTACAGAAGCGGAAACACCATGCATTAAGAGCCGGGGGATGAAAACTTTTGAACAGAATGGAGATGAGTACATTTTTCTTATTTTGCCTAAATATCATATTTTTTCATTTAGAACTGCCCTTCAGAAGCTACAGAAGATACTTACATGTCTCTCAGAAGACAAAAGAAGTACAATTTACCCTGATTTTCTAATTCAAAAAGTTTTCACCCATATGCTACACCCATATGCTCGTAATGCATTGTGTTGCTTACTTGTGCATCTTGTGTTTTTCAGATATAACTGTAATTCGATTACCTTAATATGTAATTGTAATGAAATACAGTTACTCATATTGTTTATTTTCAATACATAACTAAGTGACATATATTCCGTTACTCCCCAACCCTGCTGGTGTGGTACCTTTTCAAAAGGTACTAATATGTAGCATTTAGGTATTAATTATGTGGGTACAAATATGTATCTTTAAGGTACTAAAACGCACCCTGTAGGGGTAAATAAGGTACTGTACAAAGGAGTACCTTTTGAAAGGGTACCGTCCCACTACCAGCTTTTTTTTTTTACCTTTCTTTCCGAGAGTGTGTTATAATCACATTAATTTACATTACAAGCTATCAGAATATTTTTAAATAAATATCTTTAACACCTCTTCTTGCCAGAAACTGCATAATTTTACACAGTTTGAGCCTCTGAATAAAACTAAAGGTGTTTTTCCCCCTCTCAAGTGTGATGTTACACTTAATGTTTAACTAGATAAATATGGTATTACAACTATTTTAGGATTTATTTTAAATATCTTGTCTAAAGGTTCCATAAACTTCCATTTAAAATGTTGACTATTATATCATATGTGAGGCTTTACAGGCTTAAAGGTACAGCAGCAAAAACAGCCTGTGCAAAATAGTTCAGAAAAACTAAAATACAACTGATTTTGGTGCAAGAAACCTTGACTAGCATTGTAAGTGAACTTAACAACATCCTCCCTAAGAGTAGGTTTTAGCCTGAGTACTTTACTTAGAACACACCCTTCAAAATGTTAGCACATCTCTATTTGGAGAATTGATTTTCTGGACATGTTTATTCGGCTCGGCTGACTGCACCTGTGAGAAGGTGTTTGCAGCATATGCTGCTGCTGTTGTGAAGGATGTGAGGAACGTGGCTCGGCCTGCTGTCTTTACTGTGTAAATCATACGCTGCATTGAACAAGTCAGGTGGGCTGACTGTCTGAACGTACTGATGAACACAAACACGTCATCCACACCTGGAAGGAAAGAAAGAGGAAGATTCAACTCTCAAAAGATGGTAGGACCAATCTATGTGTTCATTTACAATGCTCATAGGTTGATGTTTTATTATTCTCACCAATGCCTATGATGACGAAAGCTGCCACTCCATTGAGAATGCCGAGATATTTCACTCCAAACACCACATGATACAAGAAGAGTGCCATGAGACAGCTCAGACCAATACTGGCCAAGCCAAAGAACGTCAGAAACACTGCAGAGAAATGAAATGGATACTGAAGCATAATGTCAGATCAAGAAATGACTGCACTTCCAGTGCTGGAAAAACTATTTTGAGAGTTTATCTTGCCAACTTGCTACTCAGTTCAACCACAGTAAAGGTCATCTTTAGTTAGCTATTCCCTCCAAGATACTAAAAAATCAGCTAAATGATTATTTAAAAAGGCAGATTCTTTTAAATATATTGCTGCGATTTGATAATTGCACATGCAATCGGAACAGTATTAATCAGGCACTGAAATAATATAGATAACAACTTTTACACTAAGTATAACTTACTTCTATTAGTTCTAAATTTTCACTAAAATAAGTAATATAACTAGAAAGCATCTATATGCACTACTATTCCGTCAGTAAGAATGTATAATGTTTTTGAAATGTTCACCAAGGTTGTATTTATTTAATCAAAAATACAGTAAAAACAGCAATAACTGTGAAATATTATTACAATTTAAAATAACACTTTTCTATTTGAATAAATATTTGAAATGTAATTTATTACTGTGATGAAAAGCTGAATTTTCAGCATCATTACTCCAGTCTACAGTGTCACATGATCCTTCAGAAATCATTCTAATTCAGCAGCATTTATTTCAAACATAAAGCTTTTGTGGCTATATAAAAGTATTTGCTGTCACTTTTAATTATTTTAATGTGTACTTGCTGAATATAAGTAAATCTTTCTGACACCAAACATCTCATTGGTAGTGTAACTCAGTCAAAAAAAGTAATAAACAGCTCGATTTTGCTAAATATTTTGCTATAGATGTTTTACAGAGACTCAAATGAATCAGTGAACATTTCTGTTTTGAACTAGTTCTTTTAATAAACCATCCAAATTGAGCGATTCACTAAAATGAATGGCTGCACACACAAAAAACTGCTAGCAAAAGTAGCACTAAAACATTAGCCTGTTTACTATAAGATACAGTAATGCAGTATTTAAAAATGTAAGTTTGCGTCAGTACATCAAGCTAATTGCTCCAACACTGAGTTCACCAAGGCCTTACTGTCAAGTTTGAAATGCGTCACTATTACAAACCGCAGTTTTCAATTAAGCACTATCCAAGATGTTTTTGACCCTCATGCTTTACAGCACAAGAAGATGTTTCCTGTGCTTTCACGCTTTTATCCCTGAATTAACCGAAAGTGCTGTGGCGAACAGAGAGTGCTAAAGGTTTCGTAACAAGCATTTACAAGCTGAGTGGAACGACAGAGTTTGAGAGCTCTCTATTGTTTCTCTAACAAGGCGGCACATTGCAAATGCAGCCGACATAAATAAATTCTGAAGGTTCAGGGAAGGTTATGTGATATACAGATAAAGCACAGAGGTCAAGTTACGTAATGTGAAAAAGCGTCATGGAGTTTTTTGTAAAAATGTCAAATGGAAAAGTGGTGCTCCATTTTCCATTATCCAGACGGTTGTTGATGCAGCAGCTGTGAGAAAATAAGCCTCATTTTAGCAATGTTCTGACAAAAATAGTATAATGACCTGAATATACCAAGAAAACCAGCTGTGGAGCTGAGAGACGGCCAAATCAATACGATTTACTTGATGAATTGCACAACAACCAAAGTCGCAGTTCGTACACCTTCAAGTCTGTATCGTCTTGTGCTTTTAATAGATTCGTAGCTGAAATACATGTTTACTGCTGTGCCTAATTAAGTCATGTTTACTGCTGTGCCTAACATTAAGTCAGATTCAAGACATCAGTCAGATTTCATTTCAGAAATCATTCGCAGCTTATCTGTTGACACATATGTTGACTCAAAGCATACTGAGGCCTTTCTGTAGACGAGAAAATGAAATCCAGTTGCAATTTCAAAGAAAAACAAAAAACATTGAATCATATCTGCTACAATATTTTAGCAAGGCTGAAACCATGTATTGATCAGACAGTATCCATTTGATCGATGAAATAAGCATTTTTAATTTATACAGGTAGTACTTTGCAATAAAAAAAACAAGACAAATTGTTAACAATATTAATACATTTGGTATCAAGAACTAAGCATTTTTACAGCATGTATTAATTTATATTAATTTTAATTTATTAATATATTATTGTTTATTGATAATTATTTTTTTTCATAATACATTAGCTACCCTTAATTTAGACGACTGGAAATTAACCAAGAAAAATAAATAGTGGTATGTAGCAGTTTTGTGCATTGTTAGTTCGTGATTCCTAAAATAGACAGTATGCACTCTATGAATTCTACATTCAAGAAATCAATCACACAAGCCGTTTCAAGTATTCAGTATTCAAACCAACAGCACAACTGGCAGCATGCATGCACTGCTTTTATAATGTTTTAAATAGTTTGATATAAATGAGACGTTATCTGTGTTTGCTCTTCTAACAAATATATGACATATGAAATCAATGGCAGAACCAACAGTTTATTTCAGAGCAACACAAAGTGGTGTTTCCCTGCTGAATGAATTGGTGCATTTATACATTCTAAAAAATGCTGGGTTAAAAAGGGACAAACCCAGCTATCGCCAAAAGTAATAGGTCATCCAGGTACTTTCGCCTACTGTTTTATGAATACTACACTCTAAAAAATGCTGGGTTAAATACAACCCAATTGCTGGGTTTGTCCCTATTTTACCCAGTATATGACATATGAAATCAATGGCAGAACCAACAGTTTATTTCAGAGCAACACAAAGTGGTGTTTCCCTGCTGAATGAATTGGTGCATTTATACATTCTAAAAAATGCTGGGTTAAAAAGGGACAAACCCAGCTATTGGGTTGTTTTGACCCAGCTGTTGGGTTCAAAACAACCCAACCGCTGGGTCAAAACAACCCAATAGCTGGGTCAAAACAACCCAATAGCTGGGTTTGTCCCTTTTTAACTCTGCGCTGGGTTATATTTAACCCAGCATTTTTTAGAGTGTATGAATTGTTGAGTGAATAATTCAATGACTCATTCATTCAGTGGCAGTGTCTAAAATCGCGTACTCTCGGACTAAGTACTTCTATGGAATAAGTAATTACTTCGTGACTGAATTTGTGAATGAATTAAAATTGACATACTACATTCACCATGTGGTCATTTTAATGTAACCTACCAGTGTCAGTTGAGTCACTTCACTCTCATTTACAAATCCTCTCACGTGGTGTCACGAATCCTGTCCATGGACTTCCGTTCAATCACCACCAGAGGTCACCCTTCCATTACAGTGACTCTCGCACAACACAAACTGTTGCATGTCATCCCGGACTACATATCCCATCAGCCATTGCACTGATTGCACACAGCACTTATTGCACACAGCACTGATTGCACACAGCTGTCATCAATCACACATTCATTATATAACACTCACTCAAACAACCATTCACTGCCGAGTATTGTAAGCGCTTATCACTCACCTAGCGATAGCTACTTTACGGAGCCAGTTCCCTGTCCTTGTTTAAGTATTTAGTTCTAGTTTCCATAGTCTAGTCATAGTCTTGTCTTGCCTGCTT